GGTGTTAAATTAACTAAATGGTAACATCATGTTTTGAATGCCTTGGAAAGAATCAACTCCAAAAGATTCCGCTTTCACATCAAAGTTTAAATGGGCAAGGATACAATTTTAAAAGCTCATTAGTCTGAAGGTGTACGATGATTTTCTGAAAAGGTGAATGAGTAAAAATAAAGTAAAAAAGAAAAAAAGGCACAAATATTTGATCTAAAATCTCACTGTTCAATTTCAGACAATGTTGCATCTCTATGATTATGGACTGTGGGAAGATTTTCAGGCTATTATCCAATGCATTCTTCAAAATACAGGATAACATAAGAGATCACCTTTAACTCAAGGAATTCGAACAGCAGATAACTTCTTTCTGAAATCCAGGAAAGAGAGAACTTGCTTTTTATTAGAAGACCGTTACTTCATGTAAATAATTTGTATTGTCATTTCCCACATATGCTACTGGAGACTCAGAAATACGCAGCCTAGCCCCTGGTCAACACTTAGGTCACAAAGGAAAATAGTTTTGATAATTCCCGTGTCAAGTCAATTAAAATAAGTGACTACACAACTGATAAACTTGGATTATTCAATTACAACAGTGAATGTATCTGGCTGAAAGAAAAGGGAGACAGATTAAAACTATCCCTTAGTAACTACCAGAAGCAAGCCTGAAGCAGCAAATGGATGGTGCACTTGCCAAACAGCACCTGCAATAGTGTAAACTCCACATTCTCCTACCACATCCCCGCTGCAAACCCAGCAGTTGGTATGCATTGCTTTATAATCACATTTAAGCTTCCCCCTGAGATGTACCATAGCCAAATATTAAATTCAAAAAGAAACTATTGAGCATTCTGACATGACTGATTATTAACCAAGATATTTTCCGTGTTCTTACATGTTCTTTTTCCAGAGGTGGAAAGAGAGAGCAGTTTCTCCTCTTTAAATCTCACGTCCTATGCCGGTCTTACTAGAGAGGTGGGAGAAGTAGAAAACAAGCCCAAACAAGGAAAACTAGTGTTCAGCCAACATCCTCCTCTCCCCTCCAACAGCATCAAGCTGCAATAGGACTAATTTTTCTTCTCTTTCACATCAAATCCTTCTGTGGAACACTTACACCAGCAAACCATTTGTCCTAATGCTTTATCTTTGATCATTCTGCCATTTTTTGTTTATCTATTACAATATGTTGTATTGTTTCAAAGACAGCATACCCTATGCATTTTACAGGCATTTTCAGCTTCTGCAGTTCACAAACTACCTTCTATAATCTTCTGCAAGTCAAAGTTACTTGTAGATATTTAGGGTATCAATGGAAAAAAGGAGTCTTTAAAAACATTTTAAAAAATCAAACAGCTGTTTTACTTCATAGTAACTGTCAGAAATCAATCTCAATCTCTCTCTCTCTCTCTGATAAACATGCAGAGATGATTATAAATTGCTCTTCATGCACACTTGTGGTGGGTTGAACTTGGCTGGTCACCAGGTGCCCACCAAACCACTCTAACACTCCCACTCCTCATCAGGACAAAGGAGAGAAAACATGATGAAAAGCTCATAGGTCAAGATGAGGACAGGGAGATCACTCAGCAATTACCGTCATGGGCAAAACAGACTCGGGGAAGATTAATTTATTTCCAATTAATCACAGAGTATGATAATGAGAATTTAAGAACAAAGCTAAAAGCACCTTCCCCCCACCCTTCCCTTCTTCCCAGGCTCAACTTCTCTCATGACTCTTCTACCTCCTCCCCCACTGAGTGGTGCAGAGAGGTTGAGGAATGGGGGATGCGGTCAGTTCATAATGCTTTGTGTCTGCCCTCCTTCCTCCTCATGTTGTTGTTCTGCTCCAGCATGGGGTCCCTCCCATGGGATACAGCCCTTCACAAACTGCTTCAATGTGAGTCCTTCCCACGGGCTGCAGTTCTTCATGATCTGCTCCAGCGTGGGTTCTTTCCATGGGGTGAAATCCTTCAGGAACGGACTGCTCCACTGTGGGTCCCCTGCAGGGTCACAGGTCCTGCCAGAAAAGCTGCTCCGGTGTGGGCTCCTCTCCACAGCCTGCAGTTCCTGCCAGGAGCCTGCTCTGGTGTGGGCTTTCCATGGGTTGCTGTGTGGATATCTGCTCCAGTATGAGGTCCTCTGTGGACTGCAGGAGGACAACATACTTCAGCATGGTTGACTTCTACAAGTCTACAGGGGAATCTCTGCTCTGGCCCCTGGAGCACCTCCTCCCCCTCCTTCTTCACAGACCTTGGTGTCTGCAGAGTTGTTTCTCTTACTTTTTTAGTTTTGTCTTTGTTTCTCGCTGTCCTACTTTAATTGGAAATAAATTAATCTTCCCCAAGTCAAGTCTGTTTTGCCCATGATAGTAATTGCTGAGGGATCTCCCTGTCCTTATGTTGACTCACGAGGTTTTTAATTGTATTTTCTCTCCCCTCTTGTGCTGAGAAGGGGGAGTGAGAGAGCGATTGGATGGGCACCTGGCAGCCAGCCAAGGTCCACCCACCCCATAGAATGCTTCTTCTGTCCCAGGTATGGGAAATATTTTGAAATCATAACGTCACTGTTAACATTTTCAGAACATGATTAGTCTTGCCATAACTTTACTGAACACTAAGTATCTAGTGATCTACTATAACAAACTGCATTTCACAATTCTGGAAATGTTAAGAATAAAAGCAGCAATGTTGACATAATATCTTCATTCAGCTTGTAAGATAAACTATTTTCCTCCATAACAAATTGAGAAGTAAAGCAATTAATAACTTCCAAAAGTAACCTGACCATAACAGATTGCATTTTAACTGCTGATTTATATCAGCTAGCTGTCACAAATAACTTCCCTAAACAGTTTCCAAAGTAGGCAAACAGGGAAAGAAAGAGGAAAAACCAACATGCCTGTTTCTCACTTTCACTAGCTTTTCTCTCTCTCTCTCTCTAGCTTTTTCCTCTATTTCGCCTTTTTATTCATTCTCAATCTTGCACTCACATTTTCACTCTTGCTCTCCTGTTCTGCTGCCCCTTCCTTTCTTGCTCTCTCTTCCTCTAGCTCTTGCTCTCACACTTTTTCTTGCTTTTGCTCCACCACGATCTCTCTTTTCCTCTCTTGCTTTCTTTCTCTTGCTCAGTCTCTTGCTCTTGCCCCTCCCTTTCTCTCTCTTGCTTGCTCAGCATCTACGTCTCTCCCACTTATTCTCCCTTCAATTCGCTTGGTCCATTGTGTGCTTCCTCATGCTTTCTCTCACACTCCTGCTTTTGCTGTCTCTCTTGGTTTGTCTGTCTGCTGTCTTCTCCCCCTTTCTTTCTCACCATTTCTCCTTCCCTTCCTCTTTCGCTCTTCCCATTCAACTCTCCCTCTGCCCTTTTTCTCCGTCACTCTAACCATTCATCTTTCCCATTGCTCTCTCTTTCACCGTCGACCTCTCTCTCTCCCCTCTTTTTTTTCTTTCTTTCTTTCTTTCTTTCTTTCTTTCTTTCTTTCTTTCTTTCTTTCTTTCTTTCTTTCTTTCTTTCTTTCTTTCTTTCTTTCTTTCTTTCTTTCTTTCTTTCTTTCTCTTTCTTTCTTTCTCTTTCTTTCTTTCTTTCTTTCTTTCTTTCTTTTTCTTTCTTTCTTTTTCTTCCTTTCTCTCTTTCTTTCTTTCTTTTTCTTTCTTTCTTTCTCTCTTTCTTTTTCTCTTTCTTTCTCTTTTCTTTCTCCTTTCTTTCTCTTTTCTTACTTTTTCTTTCTTCCTCTCTTTTTCTCTTTCTTTCTTTTCTTTCTTCTTTCTTTCTCTTTCTTTTTCTTTCTTTCTTTAGCTCTTTTTCTCTCTTTCTTTCTCTCTCTCTTTCTTTTCCCTTCTCCTTCTTTGTTTCTCAGTTGCTCTCTTCTGCTCTTTCTCCTTTTTATTCTCTCTCCCCATCTCTTTCTCACCTCCTATTTATTTCTCTTTGACTCTGTTGTGGGTTAACCCCTATAGGCAGCTAAACCCCACAGGGCCACTCATGCAGTCCCCCCCAGTGGGGGGGAAGAGAATTGGAAGGGTAAAAGTGAGAAAATGCAAAAACGGTATGCATAAGCAAAGCAACATAAGGAGTTCATTCACTACTTCCCATCTTACTTTTCCAGGAAAGCAGGGCTTCATCACGTGTAATGGTTACTTGGGAAGACAAATGCCATATCTCCAAATTCCCCCCCTTTCTCCTTCTTTCCCCCAGTTTTTATTGCTGAGCATGATGGTATATGGTACGGAATATCCCTTTGGTCAGTTGGGGTCAGCTGTCTTGGCTGTGTCCCCTCCCAATCTCTTGCGCGCTGACAACCTTCTCACTTGGGGTGGGCAGAGGGAGAAACAGAGAAGGCTTTGATGCTGTGTAAGCACTATTCAGCAATAGCTAAAAACATCGATGTGCTATCAACACTATTTTGGTCACAAATCCAAAACACAGCACCATACAAGCTACTAGGAAGAAAACGAACTCTGTCCCAGCCAAAACCAGTACATCACCCATTCTTGATCCTGTCAACTCCCCAACAACTTTTTTTTTTCCACTTTTTTTTTTTTTTTTTTTTTTTTTTAAGCAACAGGACAATAAATGTCTAATTGAAAAAATACATTTTCCATTGGAATTTTCCATAGCTATTTTATCTACATTACTCTCAGTAAATTTAACTCGCAAACACAATAAATGAAGGCTCTTAGCAAACATCAACAACTGTGACTGTTGTTAAAAGACATTTTATCATATCCACTGTGTTTTAGCAAAACTTTAGCAATGAAAACATTGAAATCGACTAGCAATACTACAATAAGTGTTGTGGCACAAGCTTCTCTATGTAGGTCCTTCGGATTAAAAGGCAAAGCATTCCTGACAATCTGTGACAGAGTGAAATCCTACCAGCACTCAACATATCAAAGACCAGGAAGCTCCATTCCATTAAATATTTAGGTCCTTCAAACACAAAACCAGAGAAGCAAACCAAGACAGATGGACAGAACAAACCAACCAACCAAACAGAACAACCTTACCTTTCACAAGCTCGGACAGTCCATGCAGCAATTATCCATAATGAGATACTAAAAACCAACAGTACGGTTCCTGGACATATTGTCATTAAAGTCTTCATAACAAAACGGGTATTGAAGTTTATCTTATTTAACGCTCCAATGCTTCTAGATGATGCATCAGTGAAAAGTTTGCTATGCAAAAGCATAACTCTTGCAATAAGATACAGTCTTAAGAACATTGGTATAGATAAAATAATATCCACATCAGCTGTTGTTGTGGATGGAGTGTAAGAAAAGGCAAGACGGGCTGTCCATGTGAATGTATAGTTCCCAGGTATGGGATGTATAGCACATACAAGTATTTCCAAGCAGATAAAGAAAATACGCTCATAAGTCATGGCTATTCTCCAGTCATCTGCTCCATTGTCCACCATGAATAACTGAAAAGATAAAATACAAGGTTAACTTTAGTATGCCATTAACAAACCTTGTTATGATTACATTTTGAAATACCATTGTTTTCAGAGCTGTTAATGACCACTAAAACCAAAATAAATTTGCCATTTCAGCAAATTACATTACTAAGTCACTACTAAGTGAATGTCATTTTGGGTAAGCCAAAAAGAATGTTGTTGTGCTCTGTTTTTAAAACTTTATGTGAAACTGAATTTCCACATATTATTATTTAATAAGATTTTTTCATATTTTTGTTTAATCGTAATTTTTACTAAAACAAAACTTTGTGCCAATTTAAACCTCATCCCTTCAAAATCAATTTCTTAATCAAAGTTCATAGAATTTAGAAGAACTTTTAAAAAGGTTAATTAGCAATTGAAAATACGTTCTGCAGTACAACATTAGGACTTCTTTAGAGCACATCAGTGCTTCAGAATGGAGAGGTTACAGCTTCAGTAGAATTATTCAAGTTTTCTTCAAATTTCAGGTACCAATAATAGACCAATGCAGGCTGCAAAGCCATCCAAGAAACTACATAAAGACTCTAAAAGATAACTCATCAGTTCAAAATCAGTTCAACTGTACCTCAACTACTAGCGATACCCGAACTAGTTGTTTTAAAGCTAGGTTGACCATGTCTAAACAAACTGTAATCACACCTTCAAAAAAACCCAAAAAATGAAAAGCAGAGGCCTGCAAACACCAGAGTAGCCTAGGTGAGGTCTATTAGTAGCTGAAAATTAAGTGCACATGTATGTATGTAGGTCCTTGCAGAACCAATGCCTTCAGTTTACCACCCAGGAACAAAAGTAATAAATCACTTCACACTGTTTAGTAAATGTTGTTCCTGAAGATTTACTAACTAAATACTTAAGTGAACAATATTTGTCACTAGTAGAGAGTAGGGATATGCAAGGCAACTTTTAAAAAAAGCAACAGGAGAAGACCTTCACACCACCTCTGGTCTGAATCTAGAAAAGGCTGTTCAGCAAATATCTATTTGGAAATAAAAACTTTTTGCAGGATTTTTTAAATTAGATTATTCAAAAGCTTAGAAGTAATTTAAGGGGTGAGAAGGTGAAATGCACAAAGAATGTCCTTCTGAATGTAAGAAAGTATTTCCAGCATGCCACACATCATCATATACAGGGCCAAACAAGCAATTCCTCTTCTGCATTGCTTTTTGCCCCTTTCCATCTTTCCATCCTTCAAAAGTTTAGAAATGCAAGCCTGAGTTCTCTGTATATGTCCTTCAGAGATCCCAAACCACATTCTACATCTTCCCCCCAACACATTCAGTTTGTCTTCCAGAAGATTGCTCCAGTTCTTTGTTTATGAAAGTGATAACAAGTTAACTTTATTGGAGTGACACTAAAAGAAAGAAAGAATTTAACCACAGTAAGAAACAAACAAAACAGGAAAAAACCCAACTCAAATTCTTTTCTTTTTAGACCTGTGTTTTGCTCCTTCACGTTCCTTCTCTTTATCTTTGGTATAGTTCTTACCTCCATTGCAATACTATTAAAACCAAAGAAACGTAGCGTTGAATTAAGCTAAAGAAACACACTTGGTGAATTCAATGTGTGCAACATGAGCACATACACTTTCTTTTGCTTGTGGTCTTTCTGAAGACTTTGTACGCTAGATATAAAAATGAAATTCATACAGGCAGGAAGGCAAATCTACCTATTTATTTATTACCAAAAGACAGTTGGTTTGCACTTAGCAAATGTACTAATTGATATAAAAGACCAAACTTTCAAAATACAGTGAGGCTCAAGTGCATTTGATTCTTGCAATTAGCCTGCAAATGCTGTCAGTCAGATCACACAAATGGTAAAACAGCTATAAAGAGGTTCAGGTACTTAGAGCATCCAGAATACAGATTCATATAAACCAGTAACAGAAGGTAGAAAGCACCAGAAGCCACAGAGGAACACAGATCCAGTACAAAAATCCCTATTTGAAAAAATAGTAACATTTCAAAAACATATTTATGAGGTAAATTTCCATACAAATCTGTGTCTCTAAATTCAGTCCATGAAACATAGGAATATCAAACATTCCGGAACAAAATAGGCTGTGGATAACTAGTCAATTGGGATGTACTGAAAATAGTTAGAAATTAGCACAGGATTTCATGTACATTTTATATGTTTGCAATTATGCAACCTACTAAATGCAATTGTTAACATTTAATTTGAAAAATGCAGTGGTATTTGCATGTTCCTACTTGCTTGGTTGTGTACATTTACTATTTGGAAAGTAAGGAGGGAAAATGAATAGAGGAAAGAAAGAGCAGCTGAAAGAACAATTTGGGGGGGGGGTGCCTGAATTTTAAATTTTTTTTTTCTATATATATGTATGTGTGTGTATATATATATATATATATATATATGCATACACCCTCTCAGCTGCTTGTCCCAGTTTAAATGAGACAAGGGTCTTTTGCTGAGGATGGGTTAGGAGAAAAAGACCCAAACTTCTCTTTCTAAGCAATTATAAATATGAAATTAAGAGGCTCCAATTGAAGGAAAACAAATTATGGAAAAGGGAAAATAACAGCCCTTTATTAAAAGGTATGTGTGTATTAACAGGAACAAGAAAAAAACAAGTAAAACAACCAAGCAATACCCCTATACCCACCAATAATCCCCTTCAAGAACAAAACCGATAAACCAGCAAAAGGAAAATTAAATAGTTCAATTTTTTTGCACCCTTTGGTGCAGTTCCAACCACAGTCAGCAGGGGGCGCAGTCGGGTCAGTGGAGATGCAAAATCTTGTAATGTCCTGTACCATTCACCAGGTGGCGCTGTTGGGTCACTGGAGGTGCAGAACTTGTAGTGTCCTATAGTAGTCACCAGGTGGCACTGTTGGATCACTGGAGGAGCAGAACCTTGTAATGTCCAGTGCCCGTCACCAGGGGGCACTGTGAGATCCTTGGTTGCCACCAGGTGGGTTGGGGGAAGGGGAAAAAGCAACACTCCCCAGGGTATATCGGAGAAAAAAAACAAAAAAAAATTCGATTCCCCTTCCCTTCCCACACTGGAAAAAAAAAGGGGGGGGGGAAGGGGGAAGAAAAAAACCAGCAATAAAACAGAAAGTTCTCCCAATGGAAGAAAACTCAGAAACTTCAGCTGGTTAGGGTTTGCTTTAAGCAGGGCCTGCAGCCAGCAACAGCTAAGCAGAGAGCAGCAGCAAACTCCCCTCCAACAGGAAAGAAAAGAACCAGGCAGCATCTGCAGCTCGCAGCAGGTCCCAAGCCCCACCAGCACACACAGCCTCTCCTCCCAGCCTGAGTGTCAACCACACAGTAGCGCCTCCCCCCCCCCTTCCCGCCCCGAACTCCTCCCACTTTGTTGCCCAGGGGACAAGAGAAAAAAGTAAAGTGCAAGTCCTTATCTGCCTTGTCTCCTAGGAGACTAATGTCCGCCCATCAGCCATGGGGGCTAGGTCTTTTGTAATCTGAAGTGCTTATCTTGACATCCAGTGGGGAAGGGAGAAAATTCTTCACCTGGTTAGGAGAGCTAGCTAAAACCACGACACTGCTTTTAGTCAATACCGTTATAATAACCATGCATTCATTTTAAGATACTATTCCCCATTTGAATGGGGAATGATGCTAGCAATAAAAAGAGAACAAGCTCTTCCTATAAAATTGAGTCCTGCAGCCTACGCAGAAGGCCATACTCCAGTCAAGTTCAAAGATGTTATGCCCGCTCATAGCTTTCAAATTTCTTGTTAATTATTAGTCTAACATTGAAATCTAATTTAAGTTCTTCATCAGTGTTCTGTAAAGCTTCTTCAAATACAGAACTGCCATCTACCTTTACTAAGACTGCACTCTATAAGAAAAATTTTAAAAAGTTATTTTCATCTGAAATTATATAATGCATTTCCAATGTGGCATGTAAAAATAAGACATGAATATTAAACTATAAATAAACTTGATGTTTCTAACACCACACAGTATAAATATAAAAATAGATAGCACATCATAGATATTAATGTGTGTTTGTGCATTTACATAACAAATCGTGTTAAATTCATATAACACCAGATTAGAAAAAGAGAAACAAATTTAGAGTAGACAGATTGCACATAATGACAACTTAGACCAGAGACTCCCTGAAACTATTTAAAAGTAGATAAATTAATTTTGCAAATCATTAGTATATCAAAACAAATTGCTAGCAGGCTACCCGAGGATGCTGGTGAATGCAAAATACAAGGAAATTGGCCAGTATCTTAACAATCCCAGTAGAAGAACAATCGTGAAAACAGTATTGTTATAAGTTAGTTTAAAAATTTAGACAACTCAGTTCCAATTAAAAATTGATAAATTTATTAAGCAAGCGATAATAAAGCAAACAGCGCTGGGTGGCCTGGGGGGCCAGTGCCCCGTTCGAGACACACACACCCTGCTTGAAAACTGGGCCTTTGTACTCTCTCGATATCAGTTGTTGAATATTCATTCATTGTCCGTTTGTTGCCTTAAAAGGTAATTCCCCTGCTTTGGAGGTGGATGTTACCTTTTTGTAACTTATCTCCCCTGGGCTCGTACAGGGGGGGTCTTGCATCATCCTCATGCTGAGGGCCTTTCTCTGTATCCACATGGCACAGAGAAATGTATTTTTATTTATAATTTGTTCCCTGTTCCTGGCCGCAAAAGATTCCCTGGTGTTAGGTCCAGACAGGACCTTTCACCTTACAGACTCCACGGTATGCCTAGAAGTTAGTAAATATACAGAAATAGTTTTTTTGTTAGTACCCCCCTTTTATTTTAATTTGCTTGGAATAAAAACCGGTGCCTTTACTTATCACAGTATCACTGCTCTGCTTTAAGGAATAAAAAGGAAGCAATAAACAATGATAAAGCTGTACTCCTTGAAGCATTCCTTGCAGAAGGAGAATCAACTGTACTCACAAAAAGGCATTGTGGCAATTGTTTAATTTAAACATCCAAATTTTAAATGGTTTAAATACTGGAGTTGCTTTACCCTTATAAAAA